TCATCAATTTTGGGTATTAACTTCGTAAAATGCAGCCGAGAGGTCAAGGCCTTTCACGCCTAACCCTCCTCTTGATCCATCTCATCCCGAGACCGTTTACCACCGAACTTCTTGCCCCTGCTTCCCTTCTTCTCATTGTAATCCTTCATATCCATGATCGCCTGCCTTTGTGCCTCCGCGACATTCTCACCAAGCACCATAACCTCGTCCTTAGGGCAGTCATACTCCTTGAGCTTCTTGCCCAGAGCACCTTCGATTCTCAGCCAGACCTCAACATCGTACTGGGCGACAAAGCTGATAGCAAGACCACTCTTTCCGGCACGGGCAGTACGTCCGACACGGTGGACATAGCTGGGAGAGTCTATAGCACATGAAAACATTAGCTGAATCCAACAATATTACTCTCATAACAAAAGACAGGGTGTACATACCACCCGGCAAATCAAAGTTAAGCACAACATCAACCGACGGAATATCCAAACCACGAGCAGCCACATCCGTCGCGACAAGGATATTCCGACTACGAGCACGGAACTTGCCCAGCGCACCGAGACGAGCCGACTGCGAAAGCTGACCATGTAGCGGGATAGCGCCGAAGCCAAGCGCACGCAGCAAGAAGGCAAGTCTCTGCGTCTCGTTCACCGTCCTCGTGAAAATAATCGTACTCTGGCCGGCGAATTCGTTCAACAGGTAGACGAGGTACAAGTCCTTGTGCTTCTGGGGAATGAAGAGGTAGGATTGGAGGAGAGTCGAGACGGTCTGGTATTTGCTTGTGGAGACGGAGACACGGAGCGGGTTGGAGAGGGAGGCACGTTGGAGGGATTCGACCTTGGAACTCATCGTCGCGGAGAAGAGGAATGTGCGGCGCTCGCGGGGCAGGACTTTCAGAATCTTGTCGAGCAGGGGTCCGAAGTCCATGTCTAGAAGTCGATCCGCTTCATCCATGACCAGGTACTTCAGGTTGCGGAGGGAGAATCCCTTGGTGTTCTCCAGGTGGTCGAGAAGACGACCGGGGGTGGCCACGATGATATGGGGCTTTTTGCCCAGGGAAATCGATTGAGATACCATGTCCATACCTCCGACGATGACGCAGCTTCGAACGCCCAGGCTGGCGCCTAGCGACTCGAAGGATTTGGAGATCTGGTAGGCGAGTTCTCGGGTTGGGGCGAGGATGAGACCGAAGAAGGGCTGGGGCTTTTCCATCAGGGCTGTGCGGTGATGTTAGTTATTTGATTATAGATTTATTCTTTTAAGAGAACGCCGAGGCGCCTGCTGTAAACTTACCCTGAAGAATAGGAAGAGCAAACGCTGCCGTCTTTCCGCTTCCGGTTTCTGCAAGACCGATCAAATCACGGCCTTGAAGAGCCAGAGGAATCGATTCCCGCTGGATAGGTGTGGGAGCTTTGTAGCCCATGGTCTCGCAAGCCTCGCATAGCTGTTCGATGATTCCTAGCTCCTTGAATGTCTTGGTCTGTCCCTCTTCTTGTTCTTGCACTTGCTCTTGTGCTTCCGGTTCTGGGGATTGCTCTGGGGTGGAAGATTCGACATCGCTCTCTTGTGCGGGCGCAGGCGCAGGCGCAGGTGCCTCACGGGCGACCTTGCGCTTCTTGACTCCAGGCATATTTTTTTTTGTATGTGTAGAGAATATCTTTATCTGGCAGCTGCGAAAATTCCAAAAAATCTTGTCGACATCATTGCGAAAGTAAAATAAGTATAATTTTAAGGCGCCGCAAAATCGTTGATCCGGGCTCCTCCGCGGCTTTGCTCCGCTCATACTTTTTTCTTCGGGTCAGAAAAAAAGTCACTGCCCTGAGACATCCCGTCCGGAGCGATTATTATTCCTCCGTTGTTTTCTTTTTCATCTTTTACGCTTTTGTCACCATGGCGAAGGCACGTACTAAGAAGCGCACTCATGTTCGCGCGCAAAATGCTACGGCTGCTGCTGCCAAAGGCGGCGCCGCATCTATGAGCAAGACTCCGAAGTCGATGGTTATCCGTGTCGGCGCTTCAGAAGTTGGTTCTAGCGTCAGTCAGTTGGTCAAGGATGTGCGAACGATGATGGAGCCGGATACGGCTGTTAGATTGAAGGTGAGCTTGGAATTGTTGGTTCTGTTGAGAGGTGGATGAAGACTAATGGTATCGGTTGTTAGGAACGCAAATCAAACAGACTCAGGGATTACACGACTATGACTGGTCCCCTTGGAGTCACACATCTCATGCTTTTCTCCAAGTCGGCGACTGGAAACACGAACATGCGTTTGGCGCTTACGCCCCGTGGTCCGACATTGCACTTCCAGGTCGAAAATTACTCCCTATGCCGTGATGTTGAGAAAGCCTTGAAGCGCCCGAGAGGTGGTGGTCAGGATCACAAGACGCCTCCTTTGTTGGTCATGAACAACTTCAACTCCCCTAACGCCACTGAGGACTCTAAGGTACCTAAGCGTCTTGAAAGTCTCTCAACGACCATCTTTCAATCTCTCTTCCCCCCGATCAACCCTCAAGCCACCCCCCTCTCTTCCATTCGCCGTGTGATGCTCTTGAACCGTGAACTCGCCCCCGAGGGTGAGGAAACCGAACACTATGTGTTGAACCTCCGTCATTACGCCATTACTACGAAGAAGACCGGCGTTTCGAAGCGCATTCGCCGCCTCGATCCCAAGGAGATTCGGAACAGGGAGAAGAAGGGTGCCGCTGTGCCCAATCTGGGTAAGCTGGAAGATGCAGCGGATTATCTGCTGGATCCGTCGGCTGCTGGGTACACCTCGGCCAGTGAGACGGAAATGGACACGGATGCCGAAGTTGAGGTGGCGGAGAGCACCACGAAAAAGGTCCTCTCGAAGCGCGAACTGCAGCGCATGAAGGCTGGAGAGAAGGAGAAGGCACAGAAGAAGCTGAGCAATGCTCCGGGAGTCGAGAAGCGGGCGGTCAAGTTGGTTGAGTTGGGCCCTCGTATGAAGCTCCGCCTGCTCAAGGTTGAAGAAGGTCTTTGCGAAGGTCGCGTCATGTGGCACGATTTCATCAAGAAGTCTGAGGAGGAAGTTACCAAGTTGGACAAGAACTGGGATCAGAAGAAGAAGGAGAAGGAGCAAAGAAAGAAGGAACAAAAGGCGAACATCGAGAAGAAGAAGCAAGCCAAGGCTCAAGCTAAAGCCGAAGGCAAGGAGGTTGAAGACGACGATGAAGACGATGTTGAGATGGATGAGGATGATGAATGGCTCAGTGATGACTTTGAAGATGACAATGCGGAGGAGCAGGAGAACGATGATGAGGACGAGGACGAATCGATGGAGGCGTAAACATGCGCACTTTCATCACCTTGAAACGGACTCTCAATGTCAAGCAGCTCATAGCCCAGCTGCTACATCAACATCCCACGCATTACTTGCTTCTGCCGTTGACCCTGAGAACTGGGCGCATGCATGTGAAGCTATGATAGTGGAGACCAGTTACATTTCAGTGACGAAGCCTGCGATAACAGACGTGACTCTTTCTTCCTTTGCCCGTTTGGCGTTGGGAGTACAGTGGCCACGAACGAAAAGGACTGAGTTATCTAAAAAAGTCTCGATCAGAATGTTACGAGCCATGACCGGAAGTCTCTCGTGACGTTCAGCAGGCTGGCCATGACCGATAGAAGTACCAAAATATACCCACAATTCTGCCTATTATTTTCTATACTCGTACATGGAAGAAACTTTCTCATATCATATCCCTATTTACACGTAGCTAAAAAATGGCTCGTAAACAACATCCATGATCATACTAGTTCCCTCCCTGCAGAAAAACAACGAATATCTACCAATACCCACCCACCTACTTCCTCAACTTCTCCTCAACAATCCTCTCCACCATCTTCTCCAACATCTTCATATCTCCACCGGCAGTACCAGCAAAGTACCCCTGCACACTCTTCTCCACATACTTGCCCACAATATCAATCTCCACATTCACATAATCCCCAGGCTTCTTCGCCGCCGTGACAATCTTCTCCTGCGTATACGCAATAAGCATCACCTCAAAGTACCCCTCCGGACCATCCACAACATTCGTCACCGTCAAACTAGCCCCGTCCAGCGTGACATATCCCTTCTCCACGATATACCGCATCACGCCCACATCGCGCGGCTGCATCCGGAACACCAGCGCATTGCCCTCCGGCGTCACAGAAAGGATCTTGGCGATGGTATCGACGTGGCCTTGCACAAAGTGACCGCCCATGCGCGTTTCACCCAGGACGGCGCGTTCGAGGTTCACGCGGGAGTTTGTCTGCAGGGAACCGAGATTCGTGCGGCGGAGGGTTTCGGGGGCGACGCCGACCTTGAACCAGGTCTTGTCGAAGGCGGTTACTGTTAAACAGGTTCCTGTTTTTATGTAATTATATTAGTTGAATGGGATTTCTCCTTGGGGGTTGCTCGTGGGGGGTTGGGGTTCGTGGGGGGTATTGTTTCGCAATTTTTGGAGGGAGTGGGGGTAGGGGGAGGGGTAACGATGGAGAGAGAGGGAAGCAGAGGAAAAAAGTAGGGATCGAATGCAATGGGAATGATGGTGAGTGTAACAATTGATATCATGCGATGCGATTCATACCATTGACAGCTATACTGTCGCCGAGATGGCAATCTGTGAGAATCTCCTCACAGTCGGAGATGGTCAAGGATGTACCCCCGCCCCCGCTTGAGGAGGTATCGAGAGGCTCGAGGGACGAGACAGCTGCGATAAAGAATGGCAATTAGTTTCTTTTTCTGTTTAGAGAATCATGCTCGCAGTATAAAAAACTCACTCCCTATTTTCTCAACAAGACCGGTGAACATGGTGGAAATGGATAAAAATGTAAAAATGTAGAGTTCGATACCGTGGTTGCGGGCGGAATCAAGCGGTTGTAAGAAGGAAAGATGAGCGGAAAGCGGACTTAATGTACTTGACCTCGGCTGCGAAGCTCCGTCGGCCTGGTCCCCGAATGGGAGCCAGCGCTTCTACTTGTATCTCCCCTGTAACTTATTTGGAGAACCTTGCATTGTCGATTATAATTTATCTGCCCACTGTCCTTTTGGCTGATTATTGCTCCAACTATCATTACTTTTATGGTCTATCATATTATTTAACATCGCATCTTTAAGCCAGCATTAGAATCAATTATGAATCTCACGGCCGCATTGAGGGTACAGCGGGCTTGCGTTGCCCGTCGCAGCATCTATCTTCCCCGGAGGACGACGCAATGGCGCAGCTATTCTTCTGCTGTTTCGGATGATACACTTCCCTTGAAAGGTATACGAGTTTTGGATATGACACGAGTTTTGGCTGGTGTGAGTAGTAGGCTTGTCGTCTCCAACAGCGCCGGGTTGGAGATGTAACTAACATTGTCCCCGCAGCCATACTGTACCCAGATTTTGGGTGATTTAGGGTATGTTCTTCGACATCTGACAAATACTATCAAGGCAGTGGGGGATCTGACCGGGATGATACCATATAGAGCGGATGTTATTAAAGTCGAACACCCCGTGCGCGGTGATGATACTCGAGCGTGGGGTCCCCCGTACGCCACGTACACGGATGGGTCCGAAGGTCCAGGAGAGAGTGCCTACTATCTTGGAGTATGTTATGCGGATCTGCTACTGCCATACCTCCAAGAGCACAATTGACCATTGTGAATAGGTAAATCGCAACAAGAAATCAATTGGTCTGTCTTTCGCTCATAAGTCCGGTGTTGAGATTCTACACCGGCTGGCGAAGGAATGTGACGTCCTCGTCGAGAACTACCTTCCTGGTAGCCTTAAGAAGTATAATATGGATTATGAGACCCTGCGCTCCATCAATCCTAAACTTATCTACGCCAGTATCACCGGATACGGTCAGACTGGGCCATACAGTAACCGTGCGGGGTACGATGTCATGGTGGAAGCGGAGATGGGTCTGATGCACATCACGGGTAGTAGGGAGGGGGAACCGGTAAAGGTAGGCGTTGCTGTGACCGATTTGACCACTGGTCTGTATACATCGAATGCCATTATGGCAGCCTTGCTTGCGCGGGCGAGGACTGGTAAGGGACAGCATATCGATGCGTGTCTGAGCGACTGTCAGGTTGCGACCCTGGCGAACATTGCCAGCTCCGCTCTGATCAGTGGTAAGAAGGATTCGGGAAGATGGGGAACCGCACACCGTAAGTGGCTTCTACCTTGTGTTCGAATTCTAGCTACTGACTGTATGTAGCATCCATTGTGCCTTACCGAAGCTACAAGACGCTCGATGGCGATATTCTTTTCGGAGGCGGGAACGATAGACTGTTTGGTGTGTTGTGCGACCGACTTGGACACCCGGAATGGAAGACCGATCCCCGATTCGTTACCAACAGTGATCGCGTAAAGCATCGTACGGATATTGATGGTTTGATTGAGGAAACTGTCAAGCAAAAGACCACGCAAGAGTGGCTTGAGATCTTGGAGGGCAGCGGCATGCCCTATGCCGCAGTCAATGATATTCAGGGAACGTTGAACCACTCCCACGGTATGCTATACATCCAACATAACCTGATTCCAGAATTATATCAATTCGCTGATAATGTATATGCAGTCCAAGCACGAGGCATGGTCGCAGAGGTCGACCATCCAGCCTGTGGACCCATCAAATTGGTGAATACACCCATCAAGTATTCCCACGCAACCCCTGGCATCCGGACACCGCCCCCAACCCTGGGGCAACATACGGACGAGATATTGGGGGAGGTACTCGAGTATGGCAAGGACGACATTGCTCGGCTGAAGAAGGATGGCGTAGTAGCATAGATTATATCATACAGGAGCTCTGCTCGTCCGACTTGGCTGGTGGATTGCTCTAGACTGCGTTGAAGAGCCGGTGGTCCGGAAGGTCACGCATCTGCAGGAATAATCCCTACATGGTTAGTTTTTCGTGCGACTACCGGCTCATCCGCGCTGAAGAGTCCCGGATATCATAGAGAAATAGCTAGAAGAGAATAACCTCAATCCAGCCATGCATATTGGACAGTGTGCCGCTGGCAGTTACACAATTAAAGGAGCATTATTGCTTTTTGACAATGAAAGGCGGTTCTGTCAAGGGCGCGGGGGATGGATTCCTCACAATCACGTGATGGTATATAAATCTGGGTCCGTTCATGATGACTTCTCTTGTCGCACTCCGATAACAGTGAGGATTCAGGTGCAGTGTCCAGAGCAAGTCTACTAAGACGACTGAGCAACTGTGCACATCGACCCGACTTAGGGATATGTCACCGCACAATGGAGCTCCTTCCTCCCAGGCGTCTATAGAAACAGCGCCTTCATCAGCCCACGGAACACTTCATACCACTACCACCACTTCTAGCTCACCCCCTTCAGATTCCTCGCGCAGCATCAGCATTGGCCCCTCCCTGGGACTGCCTCCCTCCTTACCCGGACGGCCGTCGAGCGTACCCTCAAAGAGGGTGGAGATCCCCCGGCTCTCTGCAGCTACTACCGAGTTACTGGCGCGGGTCACCGGGAACCTCAAAGGACCGCAGCAGAGGAATAATAATGATAGATTTGTTACATGGAACCCATCAACAGTTACTCGGACGTTCGAAAGCCAGAATAGCAACTCCACAATGGGGAAAATGAGGGCCTCTTCTACAATTATTGAATTGCCTACGGCGCCGTTCGTGTATTCGAACACTGTGGCGCCACCGGCGGTTCCTCAGCCTGCCTCCCCAGCGCCTCAAGGAACTACAGGAGACATAGTAAAGCCTACAAATCTACCCAACCTCGCCCCCAAACCGCCCAGCACAACACCAATTGACGCAGTATCAAGACATTCAGGGTCTCCAGTCCCGGTCAATGTCGACCTAAAACCCACAAGTTCAACGCCTGTCGATGCAGTATCACCGCAGTCGGCGTCCCCAATTCCAGTCAATATCGCCCCAAAACCAAGCCCGACACCTGTCGGTGCGGTTTCAGCACCAACACAATTGACTGCACCCATATCAGCAGAACCCACAGCTGAGATCAAAATTGCCCCTAAACCAAATGGGACATTGTCGAATGGTGCAGCACCAGGGTCGACACCCTTGCCTACACAGGAGCCACAGCCAGCAGCAAAGTCCAAGAGGCCACAAACCGCAGCTGGCTCGCGCCAGCGAAAGGGTGCGGCAAATGGTAACAAGCGCGGCAAGAAGCGCAAACGAAATAATGATAGTGACGGGGAAGATATCATAAGGGCCGGTGACTCCAGTAGCGACGAATCAGATGTTGCACCAACAGCGACGCAAACAAAATCAGGCCGCTTGGTCAACCGGCCTTCTCTATATGTGCCTGCACCGTCAGCTCCTACGGTAGCCAAGGAGGTAAGCAATTCGGCCGACGCGTCTGATTATGCAGCCGTCGCACGAAAGCGTAAACGTATCCACCGCCGAGGGAAAGATGCGATTATCACTTGCTTGCATTGTCAGAGGGGTCATAGCCCATTGAGCAATTCGATCGTATTCTGTGACGAGTGCAATGCCGCATGGCATCAGTTGTGTCACGATCCTCCTATTGCCGCAGATGTTGTTGCGGTCAAGGAGAAGGAATGGTTCTGTCGGGAATGCCGGCCTGTCCAGATTTCTGTCATTCAGCCAACAGTTGTGCGGAGCAATCCTGGCCTCACATCTGGGCCATTAGTCCCTAGTTATCCTCCGCTATCAATCCCCAAAGGCGAGGTTGGTGCAGCGGAATTTTCGGCTGATGAGCGACGAGGCTTCCTGTCGGGTCTTTCGCATGCAACCCTCGTTGAGCTCCTGATGACAATCTCGGACAACAATCCGATATTGCCGATGTTTCCTGAGAATATGAGGGATCTTCAGTCTTCCAAGTTCGCGTTTCGATTGCCAATTTCGGATGCCTCGACTCCGTCGACATCGATGTCGGGTAATATTTCGACAAGCAATGATACAAGGGATTCCACGTCTACATCTACTGAAGTAAACAAACACAATGAGGACTCTGTCCCCGAAGCCACATCTTCATCGTCTGCTCGAAGGCGGTATGAGGAGATCTCTGATGACGACTCGGAATATGAATTCCAGGAGCACCGGTTGTATCCACGTGCTGGGAACGGATTCCGGCTATCGCTTAATGTGGATGACATGGATATCATGCGCGAAGACCCTGCTTGTCCTACCTTCAGCTATTCGCTACACGGACCTGCGCAGGTACGCGCGCAGCTGAACGAAATGGTTCCAGTGTGGGGAACATGACACCAGCGTCAACTTCCCTTATACTTACGTTCACCTCTGAGTCTATACTTGACATTGAGCACTTGACGTCTTAGGTTCTTTAGATCATCCTCATCACTTATGTGGTCTAGCGAATTGTAGATATTTGAAGCGCGTGAAGCTTTGGGTTAGCAATACAATACACTATCTGCTGTGCAACCTTCAATACGCCAAAGATGACGCCTCCCGATAATTCGCCGCTACACGAAGTCAAACGCAGATTTCGGACACAATGAACATGGAGAAGCCTTTAGTTGGCCACCAACTACGAGCTCTCTGCTAGCCTTGGCTGGCGGGTCCCAGACGATGCCTGCAACACCATGTCGCGGTCTTGACACGTTACAACCGGTGTCATCCACGTCATAGAATAGCAGAATATCTGCACGACTTCCCTGGTTCAAGGCCAAGGCCTCGGATGACGAAAGTCCGATTGCTGCGCGAGCTCTGGTTGACACGCATTCGTACAATAGCTCGGCGTTCGCCTTGGTCCCGGCTTGATAGACACCCACTCCTAGACACGCCAACGACAGGGGGTCTTCAGAGCCCCAGGGCGTAAAAGCGTTGCCCACATTGTTGATTCCAATCACCGTGTCCAAACCATACTTGTTTATCATCTCCAAGACCTGCAATGTACCCCGTGGCCGATCATGGCTCTTCGAAGATGGTGGAGAGGCCATGTACATGTCGCTCGTCGGTAGCCCAACAAAGCTAACGGGAAGGTCATTATCCCGGATCTCTTGTGCAAGAAGACCCCATTCTTCATCACTGAACAGCGTCAGTCGCGTGCAGTGCCCCAGCATGACCCGCTTATCCGTTGACTGCGATGTCCACCCCCTCTCCTTCAGCGTGCGCAAAACAAACCATACCAGTGCCTCCTTCCCGGTGTCGAGGTTATAGTCGAGATGGAAGTCCACATGCTTTCTGCACTCTAGGGCACGCTCGATCGCCCATATAATATTCTGTTTCGATGCATCGATCGACGACTCAACGTAGGGTGTTGTCCCGATGACATCCACCTGCGGCTGTTGCACCGCTTCTTCCATGAGCCGACGGTTATGGTTCCCATGCTCACCCGAGAATATCGGATCCTGCGCAAATGACACTATTTGCACTGCACATGCCTCTTTCCACTCATCCTTGAGAGCGATACCAGCTTCAAGACAAGTGAGGTTTACAGTATGATCTACCTCCACGAATGCCCTCATCGCCGTGACTCCTGCGGAGACAGATCCGGCAATCAGCCATTCTCCGCGTCTCAGGAGATCCCTCCGCGAAAACTGCTGCTTCGCTTTCGTAGTAAAGGATAGCGCTTCAGCGAACGAGCCGGTAGAGGGAAGAAGATGTGCATATTCGGGGGAGTTGTGGATAAATGCTTTATCGAGGTGGATATGTGGGTGTGTCAGAGCTGGGAGAGCGAGCGGTGCGGTCTGGTTCCATTCAGGATTGGGGTGCGGGGTGATGGATGTGATGATGCTGTGCGGAGAATCATGGGGGCGCGAGATGTCAATGTCCCAGGTTGAGTCTCTGCCGGGGAGTCGGACATTCTGAATGCGCTTTACGGGTGTAAGAGTGGGTGGGGGCATTTTTTTGGTATATTATATTATATTGTGTGTTAAACGTTGTGAGTGATAGAAAGTGGTGTTTTCGGTGACACCAGTCTATGGCGGAGCTCGCCGCACTTTTGTATGTATCCCCGATCATGGGTCGTGACACAGCTGACGGCAACGTCAACATAAGATTTACCTGAATTATCAATCTCTGAAATCAAAGTTCAAGATAAGAATCGAGTCAAATGCACTATGCATGTCTTACACAACCTTAACTCGACAGCCATGAACTGAACTAATATGAGTTGAACTGAGTTGAACTGAACCACTCCATCAGCAGCCCCACATCTCACAATCATCTGGCCGGAGCTTCTTTCTCCTCATTCCCTCCTCCAAGCTCCGACTGTCAGAATCTCCAATTGACACCCTACAAACCAAACCAGAAGTCCACACTCAATCCTCCTCCACAACCGCACCCAGTAAGTCCCGAGTCACGTATCACACCCCCCTGTTTACGCGCCCATAACTCCTAACCAACCAATCACAGACCCCAAGCCGCAGCAGCCTCCGCAAAACACACACACCACCACAACCACTGCTATACACAACACCACAACCCCCCTACCATGCGCCCAACCACACCTAAACCATCACCCAACCATCCCTAACTGTACTCCCTCCCGCAAAATGACCACCCCAAAACTCATCCACACCCACCCCCTCCAACCCACCACCAGCAATTCCAACACAAACCCCCCCCTAACCATCGACCTCCTCCTCACAACCCTCACCCGCACCATCCTCCACCCCATCCCCTCATACATTCTCCTCCTATGCCTCCGCGCCCAAGCAACCCCCTACACTTCCCTCCCCTTCATCATCGCCATCGTCTACTCCGCCCTCCTCACCCTCATCTACATCCTCAGCACACTCAACCACCAATTAGCTTACGGGGCCCCGCGCACCGTCGGTCTCTCCAATGAAGTGGTGGTCGTGACGGGCGGGGCGAGCGGGTTGGGTTTACTCATTGCGAGGATATATGCGCTGCGTGGCGCCTCCGTAGCGGTTTTGGATCTTCGCGGGATTTCGGATGATGAGGTGGAAGAGATGGGGTTGGGCGGGTGTTATGTTTGTGATGTTTCGGATAGGGGGGCTTTGGAGGGTGTGGTGGGGAGGGTTGCGGAGGAGGTATGTATATTTCTTTCTTTCTCTTCCCTACTACTTTCTACTTTATATATATATATATATATGGTGGGATGAAGGGAGGGAGTCTGGTAATTTAAATTGATTGATGACTGATGGCTAACTACTAACTTGATGTGATGGGATGGGGTAGTTGGGCACTCCTACCATTTTGATCCATTGCGCAGCTGCAAGAATCAACGGTCTCCCCTTGCAACAGCTCTCTCCCGAGGCTTTCCAGAAGACTATCAACACCAATCTACTCGCCGCCGTTCATGCCTATCAGGTTTTCTTGCCGTATATGCTGGCTGCGCCCGACGGTGGGACCATTGTTACGGTGAGTTCGGTGCTCGGGCAGCTGTGTGCGGCTGGCTTGGCGGATTACTCGGCTAGTAAAGCTGGGTTGAGCGCGTTGCATCGCTCGCTTGAGGCCGAACTTCGACAATCCGGGGACGATGCAAAAGTCAAAATGGTTTTGGTGGAGCCGGGCCAGATCTCAACGCCGCTGTTTGAATCCGTCCAGACGCCCAACCGGTTCTTTGCCCCCGTTTTGGAGCCAGTCCAGGTCGCGCAGGCTATTGTCTCGGCTGTCGACAGCGGCAGGGGTGGCGTGATAAGGTTGCCTGCGTTTGCCATGCTGGTGAACTGGTATGCGGTGTTGCCGGCGAGCGTGCAGCGATTGGCGCGGTACCTGAGCGGGATTGATGGCGCGGTAGCACAGGCGTCGTCCAAACCCGGCACGGCTGATTCGTCCAGCCAGCAGTTGCAGACTGAGTTGGATCACGTGAAAGAGGACTGAACGACGAAGCTGAACAACAGCTGCAATAAGAAATATACCCCAACTGTATCATGTCCATGCAATGTATATATATACTTGAGACACAATTTAATTTGCTCTCTGAGCGCAGCCGTTCCGCAACGATCATCCAGATGGAACGTCCCGGGCAGAGCATTTATTGCTCCTTGGCCAGGATCATCTTCTCGCGCTCGCTCTGTCTCTTGGGCAGGTTCTCCTTCTTGGTGTGCTTGCGCACGTTCTCTTCGCGTCTCTTGATCGCCATCAGCTCCTCCCGCTTGATCTCGCGCGCCTTCTTGATCGGCTTGGGCACGTGACGCTGGCGGCGGATTCTGCGGATTTCCGGCATGTGCGAGTATCTCTGGATCAAGGCCTGGTCGTACTCGAGCTTGGCCCGTTGACGAGCGCTCTTTACTCCGCTGCGGTCGGATGCGTTTGCGCGCCACAGGCGGATGTTGCCGTCGTCGGAGCCGGACAAGACGTACTTGTTGTCGGGGGTGAACTTGGCGGAGAAAACACTGTAGAACATAAGTCAGCATTATGGTTTCTCGGAAAAGGGAACCGGAACTAGATACATACCGTTGCATACGCTGGGTGTGGTAGATGTCGCGAGAGTGGCCCGTGGATCTGTTCCACAAGCGGATCGTCCGATCGTAAGAGGCAGTGACAAGTTCCTGACCGGTGGGACTGAAGTCCACATCCATCACAGCAGCAACGTGGTCCTTGAGCACGTTCAATGCGCGATCCATCTTGCGCATGTCGAACATGTAGACGTTGTGGTCTTCGTTGGCAACGGCAAAGTTGAACGCTTCCATCGGGTTCCACGAGATCGCGTTCGACGCCAGGCGGAGAACCATCTTGTGAAGAGGGGACGATGTCCGGAGGTCGTACATGATAATCGAGCGATCAATGCCGGTTGAACCAAGGATGGAGGTCTCGGTCTGGTTGAAAGCAATGGAGGTGATGGTATCCACGTCGGTGGGCCAGTGAAGGGTCTGGGACGGAGTGGAGGAAGGACGGGAGAGATCGTAGATAGAGATCTGAGAGGAGGATGCGGCGAAGTAGGGCATGTCCCGATGGTGCGTGAGGCAGGTGAAAGCGCCCTGGCCCAGGTAGGTTGCTAGCGGTGGTGCTTCGGGTGCCGAATTGTACGGGTCGAAAAGCTTGACGGTCTTATCGCTCGCGCAAGAAAGCAACTTCCGATCGGGGGTCCAACACACACCCTTGACGATGTTGTCGTGTGCCTGGGTGTTCCAGATCTCTCCCTGGGTGGTCAAATCCCACACCTTGACTACACCATCACCGCTGCCACTGGCGAACCGTTCCAGAGAGCCTGGGTCCTTGGCCATAGTATACACACCGTCCACATGGCCTTGGCCCAGCTGGCCCAAGAAGGGCGCAGCGAATAGGCGCTCTAACTTGGTAGCATTGAGAGCACGGGTGTATTCACGAGCCCGCTCGAATGGATGCTGCGCCGGGTCGAGGTTTCGGGGCTGTCGAACGACAGCGGTTCCCGGAGCCTGTTGCGAGGAAGTGGGACGAGAGAGAGCTTTAATTTTCTGAGAGCTCTGTTAGTATCTATCCGGAAGACTATGAAGCAATTTAGATTGACTTACCATGGCGTCCGGTGGTTTTCTCTACAAAAGGAAACTGGAGGAAAGAAAACTGAAACTATATCGGACATAAAATTTCCAGGCGCTTTTTTTCTACTGGGCGGGTACCGCCGATTCTGGTTGGCTCGCCAAGCCGCGGGCGGTGAGGGCGGCAGCTGCAGCTCCAACCGCCAGTGACGATAGCCAAACCTGTAAGCTTCCTGTCCTGCCATCATCCTCTATACCTCATCATTTCATCTCTCATCGTGTCTAGGGCCTTGCTGCTCTGTGCATTACCTGACACCCCGCTGGCAGATTGAAAACTACCCACAACCCCTCCAGTTTTCTTCCGCCGCCCCTCACAGTCCCGATCTAGTCATGGCACCCTCTTCGACGACCGCTGGGCGGATAGACGAAGCCCGGGGTCTCGTGAAGAGCGACCCTTCCAAGGCCGAGAGCATCCTCAAGGAAATTCTCGCGCAAGGTCCCGGTTCATCTGAGGCCTCATCGCGCGATTACGAGAATGCCCTGGTGTTGCTGGGAGAGCTCTACCGGGACCAGAAGAAGCCCCACGAGATTGCCGAACTCATCAAGACCAGCCGCGATTCTTTCTCTTCATTCGCCAAGGCAAAGACGGCTAAGCTGGGTATGTTGGGTCGACCGGTTAATGTATTTTGCATGGCTACTAACCACCCGTCCTCTGATAGTCCGCCAGCTGCTCGACCTGTTCAGCGAGATCCCGAACACCCTCGATATCCAAGTCTCCGTCATCCAATCATGCATTGAGTGGGCCATCGCCGAGCGGAGGTCCTTCCTTCGTCAGAACCTCCAGACTCGCCTTGTGGCCATCTACATGCAGAAACAGACCTACTACGATGCGCTCACCCTCATCAACTCCCTCCTCCGCGAGCTAAAGCGCCTGGATGACAAGCTCATGCTTGTTGAGGTGCAGCTGCTGGAGTCGCGGGTTTACCATGCATTGGGCAACCAGGCCAAGGCACGTGCTGCTTTGACGGCAGCCCGGACATCGGCTGCCTCCGTCTACACGCCGCCGAACCTGCAGGCCGGTCTGGATATGCAAAGTGGTATGCTACACGCCGAGGACAAGGATTTCAACACGTCATTCTCCTATTTCATTGAGGCTCTAGAAGGGTACAGCTCCCTTGATGAGGGAGAGAAGGCCACTGCGGCCCTCCAATATATGCTACTATGCAAGATCATGTTGAACCTGGTGGACGATGTGACGAATTTGCTGGGATCGAAGCAGGCTCAGAAGTATGCCAGCCCGCGACTCGAGGCCATGAAGGCTGTGGCGCGTGCCCATGCCAACCGGTCCCTAGAGGAGTACGAGAAGGCACTCTCGGACTACCGATTCGAGCTGGGCAGTGATACATTCATCCGCAACCACCTCCGCAGACTGTACGATGCCATGTTGGAGCAGAACCTGATCAAGGTTATTGAACCTTTCAGCCGGGTCGAGCTGGACCACATCGCCAAGATGGTTGGGCTGGACACGCAGCAGGTGGAGCGGAAGCTCTCCCAGATGATCCTGGACAAGGTGATTATCGGAGTGCTCGACCAGGGGGCAGGATGCCTGATTGTCTACGATGAGACGGAGCGTGATCAGGCATACGATGCTGCGTTGGACACGATTGAGAAGTTGAGCAATGTGGTGGAAGAGTTGTACACTAATCAAGCATCGCTGCTGGAGTAAGTAAGAAAAGGCAGATGATGCGTGGGGGGGGAGAGGTGATTATTGAGTTAATGGCTTGGAAATGAAACAGCATTACTACAAATGAATATATGAGGATTGTTGATCCTATAATTAGAGAAATGTAATTATAGAGTGTAGTTTGATGTGGTTAGTGGTCCATCCCAAAGAGGAATAGCGCGACCGCGGCAAAAGAATCGCGAAAGCAAGTGACTTGACTTGCTTTCTGTTCGTCCGCCCAGCAACTACACGCCCATCTCTCCGGCCCTGCGCGGTCTGTCTCATCGCCCCAAGGATCTCCATCCTCCAATTCGCGGATCTTCCCTTGCGGCCTCACCGTCTCATCACGGACCAACCATGAATGCCCCGATCCCACCCAACTACGGCCGTGGGTTCCCCCCACAAGCCGCCCAACGCTCCCCTGCCACGCCTCGTCGCGGTCCTCCAGGTCCTGGTGAGCCTCCACCCTGTAACCCAATCAAACCCCCCGGCGGAACTTTTCCTTCTAACTCCTTCTTCTCCCTCGTATAGCTGCTGCGATGCCTGTCCCCATGCCTCAGCACGCCGTTCCCCCTCAGTACATCCCTCCCCAGCGCAACATGCAGCCTCCCAATGACGCCGCCCTGCGTCGCAGCCGCAAACCCACCGACAAGAACATCCCCGACGGCATTGAAGAAGTAATCATCGGCGAAGGCGTGCAGCAGTACAAGAGCCTCCGCGACCTGGAGAAGCGCCTCGATGCAGCCATTGTCCGTAAGCGCCTGGACATCCAGGACTCCATCAGCAAGACTGTCAAGAAGTACCGCACGATGCGCATTTGGATCTCCAACACTGTCGAAAACCAACCCTGGCAGACTGCCAACGGTGCCGCCCCCGGAAGCAACCCCGGCTCCGGACGGTACAAGGTGCGCATCGAGGGACGTCTTCTAGACGACGACAGCGACCCGACCGCCCCGGAGGACAGTGACGACGAAGCTACCGAGCAGACGGACAACGGCGACGCAATGGAGCAAGATGGACCCAACGCCAATGCCACGACCAAGAAGTCGTCCAGCAAGCGCTCCAAGCAGCGTTTCTCGCACTTCTTCAAATCCATCACCGTCGACTTCGACAAGTCCTCCACCGCCAGCCCGGAGGAAGTCAAGCCAATCACCTGGACCAAGCCGCAATTACCCCCTAACACCGTCACCCTGCCACCCACGGCAGACTTCGACTCGATGCAGTTCACCCGCGCGTCACAGGAGAACCTGAACGTGACATTTAGTCTCGTGCGCGACGAGACACCAGAACGGTACAAGCTAAGCAAAGAGCTAGCAGAAGTACTAGATGTGGAGGAAGAAACACGGAGCGGCATTGTCCTCGGCATCTGGGACTACATCCGCGCCATGGGCCTACAAGAAGACGAAGAGAAGCGACTCGTCCGCTGTGACCATCGTCTCCGATCGGTATCTTACCTCCCCTCCCCTCCCTATATAAGTTCCAAAACCAAACTAACCTAACCCAACCACACAGATCTTCGGCCGCGACCAAATGTTCTTCCCCCAAATCCCCGAAAGCATCGGCCCACACACCAGCCCCATCGACCCCATCCACCTCCCCTACACCATCCGCGTCGACGAAGACTACCACAAGGACCCGACCCCCACCGTCTACGACATCCAAGTCGCCCTGGAAGACCCTCTCCGCTCCAAGATGCTCGCCCTCACCCAGAACCCGCAATACACGGCATCCATGCGCCAGATCGCCACGCTAGACGACCAGGTCGCTCTCATCGTGCAGGCCCTGACGCACTCCCGCGCCCGTCACTCCTTCTACACGGCTCTCAGCAAGGATCCCGCGACTTTCGTCCGCCGCTGGATTAACTCCCAGCGCAGAGACCTGGAGACTATCCTTGGAGAGGCGACACGTGGTGGTGGCGAAGATGCTAGTGGTCCTGAGTTCCGTCGTGGTGGTACAGATGGCGTTTGGGATACGACTGTGGCGAGGGAAGCGGTCCGGTATATGCTTGCGAAGCCGGAGGCGGCGATGGGGAGGTGATTCTTAACTAGGTAGTTTACTCGTTAGGATTGGTTGCTTGTGGAGATGTGGTATTATTTAAGTTACTAGTGATGTGTGACTGGTGTATTATCTGATCAGCGAAGAAAATAACTCTTTACGAACGATACTAGTTTAGTTAGTCGGTTGAGTTGGGCTTGTTTGTTCGATGGGGGCGCTTTCGTGGTGTTTTTTTGTCTTTGGTTGGTATTGTTTTCGGGATGGATCATGCTTTTTTCAGCTCTTATTGAAGTCTTTAGTTCCCTTGTCATCTATAATATATTGCTTGGTTGAAATACAGATCTTATCTGTGGCTGTAGTAGATATATATATTTGAGATTAGTACGAAGACCACATAATAATTGCATACTAGGTCCATAATGATTTGTGTTTGAATATATTGTAGTACTAGTGAGTCAGTATATGCCGTTACTCGTTTCATTTATATTTCTGATACTATACTGTACTGAGATCTAAGCAAGATAGCAACTGCACAAGAAAACAGAACAAAACAAAATAAAATGAGCAAACCCATTCTCCTATCCAGATCAACTCCTTATCGAAAAGACGTGAATGCATGGATTTCGAATCAACTAGCTTTCCCATAACATAACATCGCGTTATATGAAGATATATTCTCTGATGCTTGGAAGCCGGTCTTGCTGGCCTATCTGGTCGGCTGTAGTAGGGGTAGATATCAAGTCAACAAGCTGTAAGACATGTCCTTGCGAGCTACAAGGCTGTCCATAGTAGGACTGACGGTATGATGAGGGTGTTGTTCCTCTTTGGTTTGTTACTGCTGCCGCCGCCGCCGCCGCCGCCGCCGCCGCTGCTGCTTTATTGGAGCACGTAACAGAAGCAAATTAGGATGACAACTGGACCTTCCTCTTCCTCAATTCCTCGAGCCCCGAGTCGACAGCCGAAGCGACTTTCTCCTCGGTAATTCCATCGAGGAAAGGGCTGCCCTCCTCCTGTTCCAGCTTGGAGGCCGCTTCCAGGACGACCTTCTGCGTGATTTCCTCCTTCAGGTTGCTGATTTGCTCCTCCTTGGAGGGCTTACCGGCCGGTCCGGACTTCTCAGCGGGCCCGCGGAACCGCTTCAGGACGGTCTCGACCATCTTGGAGAACCAGAAGTAGTTCAGGAAGTTGAGGACCACGTTCGAGATCACGTAAGTCAGAACCAGCCAGGTGGGGACGCCGCCGGCGGTGAAGGAGGCGTACTTGGCCATTTCACTGCCGCTGCCTCCGCGGACTTGGAAGACTTGAGAGGTGATATCGACGGGCTCGAGGGGAGTAGCAGCTGCGGTGGCATCCCAAGTCTGTTTCAAGGCGTACCACATGTCCCGATAGACGGCGACGGACTGGTAGGTGCCCCAAAGGAGACGGCAGCTGAAGAAGGTGAAAAGAAGCATCATGCCATTGTACCACTGCAGGTTGCTGCCGGTCATGTTGACCTTGTCAAGGAACCAGTGGATATTGAGGAAGGGGCTGGAGAGCTCATAGAGGATGAAGACAGGGGAGTAGAAGTTCACGAATGGTCTCTGTGATGATAGCACAAGTCAAATGATTAGCTTATTGACGCATACCGTAAATCTGGATATAGGGTACAACTCACAAATCCGAAACTGAACACCCACAGGGCGCTGATGCCATGGAAAAGCATTCCGATCCCAAAGAGTTTAACGTAGATCGTGCTCACGATCAGATCGTAGACAAAGTATCCGGCAGCGAAGGCTGACACCAGTCCACAGGCTCCAGTGTATCCATAGACACGTTCAGGAGTGTTCATAGAAGCCCGGTCTTCATCGACAAACATGACCCAAAGGGCCATGCCATTGATAAAGGTGCTCTGCACCAGCGAGACGACATGAACATCCCAGTTGAGCTTGGTCCGGGGATTGAGTTTCGGGTAGTGACGGGGAAACAACACCGGAGACAGAACGGGGGACAAGATAAAGTGGATAAAGAGGTAGCCGGCAAAAGCAATAACGACTTCGTGAGCATGCTCCGTCAGAGCCGGAACGTTGTAATAAAGCGCCCAAGGCTCGACGAAATCCCGCAGCCATGCTGGCGGGGGTGGAAACGGATCCAACATGCCGGTTGACCGCTCCTCCGACAAAGCGGAGAGAAGTTAGGATGAGAGAACCGGAAAATTAAGCGCTCTTGCAGAGGGGAGATAGGGGAGCAGGAGAACAAGACAGAGGAGGAGAGAGCAGCAGGAGGGCGGAGACTAGTGAGGTTAGTTGGTCTAGAAACTAGCCATGGTGGAGACCGGAGACGTTGGAGTTTACCGACCGAAAGGAGAGAAGTAAGTAGTAGTAGTTAGTAGATGAAATGTGGCCAGGGGCAGCACCGAGGATCTATTTATCTCTCGCCGTCGGGCCAGCCAAGGACGGCAACCGAAGCAGGCATGCACGCATCCAGGATGAAGCGAGTAGCGACAGTTGATGCAGCAAGGATTGAGGAGCCAACCTCTTTAAACACAAAAAGCGCCGTGAGAAACAATTCCGTTGGGGATTCGGCGCTGACTCAGCCGCGGTGCATGACCGTTGGCCATGTGACTCGTTGCTTCTTTGATCTCCCATCTTCTACAGGCAACAACTACGAACAAATGTACATCTACAGAAGAAATATGTTTGAATCTGGGTTTTCCCTCAAATCAGCATATCAAGTCCATTATTAACTTCCACTCGCTGAATAAGAAACATAGGTACATCATGCATAAACAGTCGTAAGAAACATAGGAGAATACAAAAGAAAGTAACCAACCCCTTTTCGGATCCATGTCCGATACACCAATGATCCTAATCTATACAGCACTCAGCTCAGCCAAATGCTCGGATGATTCGTTTCAGGAGAGCTTCCAAATCATGCTGCTCGCTCTCATCCCTTCATTACTAGGGTCATGCAGCAGAGCCGAGAGAAGTCCTCGTGCGCTTAGAGCTTCATGCCGCGGCACTTGTGACCTCGGGTCCAATACCACTATCGCTGTGCTGTCCGTAGACCACCATCTTCGAGGCCTCCTCATCCAACTCCAACGCCCCGTCCGGCTCATCTGCCTTGGGCGTCTGAGCGTCCTCCGCATCGGAGTCCTCCGGTTCGTCCGCGACCGAATGCAGCCCTGTGGAGCTAGCGGCACTTACCCGCCGATCGGCGGAGACATGGCTACTGGTACCATAGATCATGCTATCCGCGTATGTTCCTGTGTAGCTGGTTCGTCGCTCCGTGCCTGCGTCACTCTCTTCCCCATCCTCCTCAGGAAAGACCTCGTTTTCTTTATTGGCAACGGAGCTCCGGCCTCCCCAAGATGCCTTCCGCTGAGAGACGTTGGACCTGACGGAATGGCTCCGCTTCAGACTGGCAAACCCACTGGCGCTACTCACCTGCCTATCCCCGGCACCGCGATTGCCTGTAACGTTGCTCAGACTGAAGATACGCCGTTCCTTGCTAGTGGTAGATGGTGCGACAGATCCCGCCTGGGACCCATTCGTTCCTCGCTTTCTCAGCGCTAGCCCAACGCTACTGCCGAGGATGCTACGGGCATCTTTGGCGGTGCTGGCATTGCTGGCAACACTAGGCCCGCGGGCGCGAGATCCGCGCTTCTTTACGCCATTCGGGCGACTCAAGAGAACACTGCGAGCGTGGTCGAGAACGCCTTCCAGGATTCGTTTTTCGAGATGGTCTGCACGATCCTCCATAACTTGCATTTCTTCATGACGAAGCTCGAGTGCCATCTCCAAGCCAGCGACTTCCTTGCTGAGCTTGGTGGTCTGCTTAGCAAGGTCATCCTTTTCAGATTTCAAAGTCTGGATGATGTGCAGCAGTGAATCCTTCTCCTCCTTTAGGGTCAAGATTTCTGCCTCCACCTGCTCGCGCTGGGCGTTGCGCCTCTCCAATGCAATCGCTGCTTCTTCGGCCTCCTTACGTCTCCGCTCGTTGTCTTCAGCCACCATGGCGGTCTGGGCGGCAAACATCTCGTTCATCCGACGGGATGTGTCCATGATATCCTTATGCATCTCGTCCAACTTCATCATCTGCGTAACTGATTGATCATTGTTGGTCGCATGGTCGATGAGTACATCAAGCTTATCGTGCACCGGCCCAGTAGAGTTAGTGGCGTGGTCCAGAAGCTCGCTCAATTTCTCATAGACCTGACCATTAGTACTCGTGGTGTGGGTCAGAAGTTCATCAAGCTTCTGATGTACTTGGTCATTCGTAACGCGTTCGACGAGAGTATTCAGTGTCTCTTGGACTTGGCTGCTTTTAGCCCGGTCGAGGAGGTCATTGAGCTTTTCCTGAACTTGAGTATCATCATATTTCTCAGGCTCAGGCGGTGGCAAAGCAGGGAGTAGAGGAGTAATGGCGGAGGGAATTGTAGAAAGGTCCATCTTGATGTCCTGGGCCGATCTCTGGGAGTGGTCATAGTGCTGTCCGACAATGGAAAGGATCTCTTGAATGGACTCAAGCACCTGAGGGTGGAACTCGTGTAGCTGACTTTCAACACGATCGGTTGCAGCTGCTGCACGCTCGAGATCCGAACGAGCCTGCTCCTGTTGAGACTTGACTTCGTTGTGCATCTCTTCCATCTTGTTGTAGGATACATCGACCTTTTCAAAGAAGGTTTGCGCATCTGTGCACATGCGCTCACAAGCCTCGTTAACGCTGTTGCCCATGGACCCAATGACAAGCCTGATGTCTTCGGCCAGAGCCTTGGTATTGGTAACAGCCTCAAGATGCGCATTATCACGTTCTGCGCTCTCGGTGAACTTGGAGTCGATAGCAGTCTGGATAGATGACTGGACCTCGTCATACTTGGCCACGATCTCACCGAGCTTTTCGTCAATCTTCGAGCCCAGTTCGACGATAATGGCGGCTCGGGTCTCGTCATGCTTGACCATCGCAGCAGCATCACGCTCTTCCTTCTCTAGCTTGGTCGCATCCTGTTCGCCCCGGGCGCGCTCGAATTCGCGGTTGATCAGCTCCGTGAGTTCGTTGACATTCTCAACTGTCGTGAAGCTTTCGGCAGACGCTGCCAGGCCTTCAAGTAGCTGCTTGAGTTCACTGAGCCCCTCATTGCTACCATCCAGCTTGCTCTTCAGCTCGTCTCCGAGCCCCTCCACGACAGCCCGAGCTTCCTCGATCTTTTCGGCAAGCCCGGCGTGCTCAACCTTTCGAGCATCGAAGGCTTGTCCCGTCATCTCGTTGTCAGCATCAACCTTCTCGCGGAACTCAGTAACAAGTGCCGTAAGATCTTGAATATCGGTCTTGGTCGGCAACGTCTCAATGTCGGGAAGCTTGAGC